ATGCTTAACGACTAAGCCACCCAGGCGCCCCTGACAGCAGATTTTTATGCAGCTGTTTCAGAGGCAAGAAATAAATCTATAGGACAATCAGATAATTGAATTTTCATATATGTCTAGGGTATTAAAATCATTTGCAGATTTATGGTTTTTGTGTCATCAAACCCTCAATCAGAGGGTGTCGTTTGAATATATGGACTTGTTTCAGGCTATGGAGCAGCAGACTTTTTCTGTACAGGGTCAAATAGTAAATGTTTTCTGCTTTGTGGGCGCCCTGGTCTGCACCTCAACTGCTCAGCTCTGCCATAGTAACACAGAAGCGGCCACACACAGTAGGTACAGTAAAGTAAAACTTTATTTACAAAAACAGGTTGTGGATGGATTTGGCCCATGGGCTGTAGCTTGCAGACTCCTGTTTTAGACATTGTTTTAATTTTCAAAATCAACTTTTTAAAGAATGACATTAGGAATATTGTATAACTCTTATATTTAGTAAGTTTTTGGATAAAATGTCTACTAATACTGAGACTAAGATTTTTAAAATATTTGTAAGTAGTTGAACAGGTGAACAGTCACAGTGGGTAGCCTTAATTGGAAATTGCTTTGAGAATAAAAAGAGAGGGTAAGAATACAAGGAAAAAGCCCGAAAATGATTCTCGTCATGTTATATATGAAGTGAGATTTTTAAATTATTCCCGACTAGCCTATTCTCTCCTTTTCATTTAATTGCCCTCAATTTAAAAGCTTTCCCCTGGAACGTGGCCAGTGGAGACTAATTTTTTTAAACAAAATTCAGCCTGAGTCAGAATCATATTGCAGTCCATTAAGGTAATTGAGAATAAGCTATTAACTCCTATAAATGTCCTGTTGAGTGTACCATTTAGACTAGCTTATGAGAAAAGTTAAGAAAGCCTGGTCCTTGATACTGTAACTTTAGAGGGGGTTTATCTTTCCAGCGTGGAATAGGCTACTTAAAATGAAATTCCATCAGGCTCCAGCCGTCTCATTAGATTCACCAAATTACAGAGCTTGAGCCGTTCTTTCGGCAGTTTGGCTCACCCTTTAAATGAAAGCTGGGCCTCATTCTCAGACTGGCCGCCAGTCTGATCATTTCAGCAGTGCTGTAGGAAACATTTATTATGATGTGTTTTAAATTCAGCCTAAATACAAGACGGCTTGAGGGGACAGGAACACAGATGGAATAAACCTTTTAAAAAGTAACACCTGGGTATTTTCTGAAGAAAGCCGGTCAGCTGAGTACCATTAATGCCGATGGTGTTCTAGATTCCTAAGTGTTGGTGCTTCATGCTCCCTAGGTTGCTGTTTCCCCTGATAGAGTAGATGCGGTAAAAGAAAAGTAATGCTGTGGCTCTTTACAAAGCCACAGTCATCTAAGTTGTATAAGATTAAAAAGACAATGGGATCAATAGGCTAATAGGGAGATTTGTTCATTCATTATAGGAACACTAAGTATATGACAAGCCAGAAATAAAACAAGAGCAGGAAATACATCAGCATTTAACAAATGTTGGCCCAGGTAGATAAAAATATTTTTAAAAGAGGTGACTCTGATCCGTATCTTCTAGCTTACATGACAACGTAAAGAAGATGGAGTTGTGTGTTTATCGCAGCAAATATGGGGTTTACGTGTTAAACTCTGATAAGTCCCTAGCTGTTAAAGCCCCGAAAACTACCATCAGTGGCAGTGGGCTTTAAACATCTTTTCAAACTTTTATGTAGTAAAATGAAATCCAAAAAGCACAGAAAAGCAGTGGAATGGGGGGAGTGGATGTAATTAGCAGAACTGATAAAGCTTCCCTAAAAAAAGACATGAAGGATACATAGAATGCACAAGATGATTTCTCACACGTAAAGAAATGCAGAGAGCAGATCATCTTATATAAAAACACAGAGCCTGTCTGGCAGTTTAAAAGCAAAAATAAAATGTCATGGAATCATTACGTATTTTTTAAGGTACTAAACATCCACGTGACGGAAGCCGGTGTAGGAGCTGCAAGCATGCGCCTTGACACCTTGTCAAAACAGAACGGTTTGATTGTTTCTTTCTGGCAAACATTCTGACAATATGTAATGAACTGTAAACCTGTTTTTACTTTTCTGTCCAGTAATTCCCAACAAAAGACCCCAAGGAAAACGCAATAATTTTGTCTAGAGGGCTTCATTATTCATTTTTACAAATAGCTGACATTTATAGACCATTTCCTGTGGATCTGACATCATGCCAAGCTCATGATGTAAGGGTTAACTTACAGCATGTGCAACAACTCTGTGTGTGAGGTGGCCTCTCCTGTTACCCCCAATTCACAGTTGAGGAAACCCTGGCGCTGTGAGGTTAACAGCCTGCCCACGGACGCAGAGTTGGTAGGAAGTGAGTGGAGATCTCAGCCCGGTCTGTCTGACTCCATTACCCAAGCGCTGACCTCTAAGCTGCATCCAGTGCAGGTGATTAAAGCCAAAATAAAAAATTACAAAAAGGGGGGAGAAGGGGATATTTAATGAGACTAGCTCATCAAACTGTGGTATATTAACATGCCAATGCTCCATGATTTTTTAAAATGCTCGAGTTGTATAGATTCTGTGGATACATGTGTGTATCTGAGCTTGAGCCAGGCAGAAAATCAGAACGTCGAATTGTTTACACACACTAGCTGTAACTGGAAAATACGAGTATGCTCACAGGGCAGGAGCAGAGAATAAACAGGAAGGTGCTAGTGTCAGAGACCGCCTGGGTTCAAACCCCAGCTTTGTTGCTAGCTAGTTGTTTTACTTTGTGCAAGTTGCTTGACCTCTCTGTGACTCAGTGTCCTCCTCTATAAAATGGGGCTAATAATAAATCGGTGTAGTTGTAAGGATGAGATGTGCTAATACAGCGTCAAGTCCTCAGAACAGCACCTATGGTACCCAAATATTCTCAGCTGTGCTTCTTACTATTTAATACAATTTGAAATTAAACTTAAGTGATAGAAATTATTTAGAATTGAAAGTGCATTGGGTTATTTTCACCATGAAGTTGCTTAAGCTTTCAGTTTTAAGTGGTATGAGAATGTGCGTGTGTGAGAGAGAGAAAGAGAGAGAGAGCGCGGGTTTACCCCAGTTACCCAACGAAGATAAGAGGCGAGAGATTAGGGTGTTGAGCACCTAGGTGGGAAATCAGCCTGAGGCATATTCGCCTTCCCCATAAACAGAACTGCATATGGAGATCTGGGTCCCCTTTTCCCCTGTGCCAGACTTGTCTTCCTGCAAGGACACTTTAAAGGGTTGTTGAGAGCTGTTGCCACCAAACGCAGAACTCGGCTCAGGACCACGTAGAGCCCTTTGAATGCGCTGGCAATGCAGGAGCAGGGGAGAAGCTGTCGGAGCCCTGCCAGGACTTTCTCACTCGGGTTATCAGGCCTCCTAGACTCTGTTCCCTTCAGCCTACTTTTGAATAATTACAACTTATGCCTTCTGTTCAGCAGAGGATTTCAGAGGGGTGTGCAGATTTCTTACAGTAGAGCCGCTAATCAAAAGTAGAAGGAATAGGTGTCTTATGTTGGTCTCACCCCAGAACTGTGTCACACATGCGGTGGAATGATCGTGTTATGCATTTGTCTCTTCCGGCCCTATAGCAACTACAGCTGCTGCAGCTCTAGGGGAGCTGAACTTAACCTCACAGCTTAAGAAGCTGCAAGACACCATTGAGCAGAAGACAAAGATAGAAATTGGGGACATTATCCAGATCAGAGGTTATGTCCACATGTACAGAGAGGAACGAGAGATCCGTGTCACCACTTATTGTAAGCACAAGTTATCTCTGCCAAATTGGTTGTTATGCTGGGTGTGTGTCCAGTAAACTCTGGGTTATCTGGAAGTCAAACGGCGAAAAAGTTCAGATAAAAAGATGTAACTCTTTACTGGACGAAATTATATTTCATAACAGGTTTCTTTAGAAAAACAGCATTTTTAACTTTGTTTTGAAGAGCAGTAACTAGAAATGGGGGAAGAAAACAAATGATTTATTATATATATCTGGCAAATTTATTTGGGCCACATCAGAGTTTAAAGTACTTTGAAGTTCTGTGTGTCAGTCCATTTAGGGCAGAGTGTTCATATTCTTTAAAATGATGACGATTTCTTGAATACCACTGAGTCCATTAACTTTGAAGGAAAACAGCTAATTGGAAATAACGATCGTCCCACATCCTCTGAGTGATATGTTTTGCAGGACTCTGGCTGATTTGGGTTGGAAATCCCACGGATGGCCCCTGTTGTTTGCCATTGTAACAGATGAGTGCATAAGCGAAAGTGCTTTCCCTGGTTCCAGTCTGCTGCCGTACAGGCCTATGATGCTGAGGGCGTTGCATTCCCTTTCAAAGGATGACTGGGAACCATTTAGTGCATCTAGGATGTATGATCCTTGGGCACCCATAGGAAAGGAGACCCACTGGGTGCCTAGCAGCAGGTCCTCTCTCCAGGACCCTGGAGAGAGCTGATCTCATTGTAATTTCTATGGCATGTTTTCCCCATGGCTTATTAGATAAAGTAGAAGATCCCGTGTGTAACATTCAAATCGCGAGGATGCTTGAGCTGCCCAGTATCTACAGGAAAGTTTATGACCAGCCTTTCTGCAGTCCAGCCCTAGAGCAAGAAAGGTAAGCTGTGGCCTCTCACTGCTAAAGATGCATTGATGGCAGTAAGCCAAGCAGCGGGAGCCCAGATGCTGGGGTAGGCCAGGGTTCAAATCCTGAGCTGTCCACACTCATGGAGGGGCTCTGGGCAAGTCTCCTTACTCCCCATGTGGCTTCATTTTCTTACCTGCAAGGTGAAGATAATAATAGTACAGATATTCTAAGGTTCTTGGGAGGAAAGTGTATGTGTAATTGGAGTCCCTGGAGGAGTGCAGGGAGCAGAGAAAATGTATTTGAAGAAATAATGGATGAAGTTTTTCCAAGTTTGCTGAAAACTATAAATGCACAGATCCAAGAAGCTCAATGAGCCCCAAGGCAAGAAAGCTGCCATGAAACCTCATAGTCAAAATACTACACAATGACACATTATAACAAGAAACTGTAAAAAATGATACCCATCATTCCCAACCAGGGATGATTTTACTTTCTTGTGTGTGGGGGGGGTCAGGGGGTACAGGAGGACTAAGAATACGTGCATACTCATTAGTGTCTGCATCAAAGGACTCTGAGCGGGGGCAGAAAACCAATAATAGCCTCTGCCTACAGGTGGGAACTGCAAAGAGGATAGAAAGGAGACTTCACTGTGTACCCTTTAATTTTTTTTTTTAAAGATTTAAAGAGGGAGAGGAAGAGAGAATCTGAACCAGATTCTGCACTGAGCAGAGAGCCTGATGCGGGGCTCTATCTCAGGACCACGAAATCACAACCTGAGCCAAAAGCAAGAGTCGGCCGCTTAACCGACTGAGCCACCCAGGCACCCCCCCACTTTCACTTTTTTAACATATATATATTATATATTCAAAAATTGTATGTTAAAAAAAAAAAACAAACTCTAGACCTGTAGAAAGTAACAAAGTGGAAGTTCCCCATTTTCCTGCCTCAGTACCATTACCCCAAGGTTGCCACCATTCGTAGGTTGATGCGTATCCTTTTAGACATTTTTCTTCTGTGCATATACAAGCGTGAACATTCACCCATATATTTTATGGGTTGTCATTTGCTTTTTTTTTTAAAGATTTTATTTGACAGAGAGAGACACAGCGAGAGAGGGAACACCAGCAGGGGGAGTGGGAGAAGGAGAAGCAGGCTTCCCGCCGAGCAGGGGGCCCGATGCGGGGCTCGATCCCAGGACCCTGGGATCATGACCTGAGCCGAAGGCAGACGCTTAATGACTGAGCCACCCAGGCGCCCCATCATTTGCTTTTTAATAAAAATGGGAACACAGCTTATATACTATTCTGCAGCTTGACTTTTTCCCCCAAATCTTTCATGAATATTATAGCTGCTGTAGTCCTGCCTCATCCTTTTAAATGACCGCACAGAGCTCACTGTACGAATTGCCCTTTATGTCAAAAACAAGCGTCATTATTGAACAGACCCATTACCAGTAACGAATTTAAATCAGTAGTCAGAACACTCCCAACAAACAAAAGTCCAGGACCAGATGGCTTCACAGGTGAAATCTACCAAACATTTAAAAAAGAGTTAATACCTATTCTCCTCAAACGATTCCAGAACATAGAAGGGGAAGGAAAGCTTCCAAATAAATTCTATGCAGCAGGCATTACCCTGACACTAAAACCAGACAGACACACTACAAAAAAAGACAAGTACAGGCCCATATTCCTGATGAACATGGATGCGAAAATCCTCAACAAAGGGGCGCCTGGGTGGCTCAGTCGTTAAGCGTCTGTCTTCGGCTCAGGTCATGGGTTCTGGGATCGGGCCCCACGTCGGGCTCCCTTCTTAGCGGGAAGCCTGCTTCTCCCTCTCCCTCTGCTTGTGTTCCCTCTCTTGCTGTGTCTCTTTCTGTCAAATAAAAAAATAAAATCTTAAAAAAAAAAAAAAATCCTCAACAAAATACTAGCAAACTGCATTCAACAATACATTAAAAGGATCATTCACCATGATCACGTGGGATTTATTCTGGGAATGCAGGGATTGTTTAATATTTACAAATCAATCAACATGAGACGCCACATTAATAAAACAAAGGATGAGAGTCACATGATCTTCTCAGTAGTCACATGGTCATCTCAATAGATGCAGAAAAGGCATTTGACAAAATTCAACAGCCATTCATGATAAAAACTCTCAACAAAGTGAGCTTAGAGGGAACACAGCATAATGAAGGCCATATATGAAAAACCCACAGCTAACATCATACTCACTGGAACAAGACAAGAAATCCACTGTTGCCACTTTCATTCAACATAGTACTAGAAGTCCTAGCCACAGCAGTCAAACAAGAAGAAGAAAGAAAAGGCATCCAAATTGGTAAGGAAAAAGTTAAACTGTCCCTATTTGCAGATGACAATGACACTATACATAGAAAATCCTAAAGACTCCACCAAAACAAATTATTAAAACTACAAATGAATTCAGTAGAGTTGCAGGATATAGAATTAATACACAGAAATTGGTTGCATTCCTATACACTAATAACAAAGTAGCAGAAAGAAAAATTAAAACAATTCTATTTACAGTTGCACCAAAAAGAATAAAATACCTAGGAAAAAACCACGAGGTGAAAGACCTATACTCTGAAAACTATAAACATTGATGAGAAAAAGTGAAGGTGATGCAAATGGAAAGATATTCCATGCTCATGGGTTGGAAGAATTAATATTGTTAAAATGTCCGTACTACCCAAAGCAATCTATGGATTCAGTGCATCCTTTTCAAAATACCAACAGCATTTTTCAAAGAACTAGAACAAATAATCTTAGAATTTGTACTGAACCACAAACGACCCAAATAGCCAAAGCAATCTTGAAAAAGAAGAACAAAGCTTAAGGTATCACAATCCCAGATTTCAAGATATACTACAAAGCCACAGTGATCAAAACAGTATGGTACTGACACAAAAATAGACACATAGTTCAGTGGAACAGAATAGAGAGCCCAGAAATGAATCCATGTTTTTGTGCTCAATCTGTAACAAAGGAGGCAACAATATACAGTGGGGGAAGGTTTAAAAATCCTTTTTAAAAAATCAAAAAATTAAAAAATAAAAAAATTACAAATAGAAATACGATATGATCCAGTAATTCCACTACTGGGTGTGTACCCAAAGAAAACAAAAACACTAATTCAAAAAACACCTCCGTGATTATTGCAGCATTATTTACAGTAGCCAAGATATGGAAACAACCTAAGGGTCCATCAAAGGGGAGGAGTGTTGGGGGGGGGCGGGGATGGACAAAATGGGTGAAAGAAAGTAGGAGATACAGGCTTCTAGTTATGGAATGAATAAGTCATAGGGATAAAAGATACAGCACAGGGAATACAGTCAGTGGTATTGTAATAGTATTGAATGGTGACTTGTGAATGTAGCATAGTGTGGACTTGTCAGTTGCTATATTGTATACCTTAAATTAATTTAAAATTGGGTGTCAGCTATACTTCAATCAGTCAAACAAACATCAATATAGTGTCACATTTCCCAGCTGAATTTCTGTTTTATGCACACCAAAAAGAAACAGAGGTGATAGTTTTCTGCAGGGCTTTTAAAAACTTTCCCCCAGCAGCGATCCAGGTACCCTGGACCTTGCCAATCTCACGTGTTTGCTGAGTGAAAGAGCCAAAGAATTCCTCGTGGAGAACAAAGTGCAAACCTTTTACCAGCAGGAATTGGAAATTGTGGAATCTCTGCTGTCCCTTGCCAATCAGCCTGTGATTCACAGCGCCGGCTCTGAGCAGGTAAGTGCTGCATGGCCATGTGAGAATTCAGGTCCCCTGTCCCATATCTGCAGCTCAAGGGTATGGGTGAACAGGACTGTGGCATGAACACTCAGAGGGTAGACCCAGGGAATAGAGGTTCTGGTTCTAGTCCATGTTTCTCTTCTGGAAAGGTCACTGACCACTAAGAATTTGAAATGAGAATGCACCTGCCCTTTTGTCCTCCTCATTTAATCTCAGTAAACTTAATCTTTGGGTAGGGGGAAAAAGTAGTTTAAGGTTCATACTACTTCTTAGTATTCACTGAGATGGGTATTTAATCTCAGCAGGAGCCAAATGAGAGGGAAATAAATGAGAAGAGGTAATTGTTTTTCCAAGATTATTCAGCAAGAGGATTTTTTTTTTTTTTTTAAGATTTTATTTATTTATTTGACACAGAGAGAGAATAAGCACAAGCAGGTGGAGGGGCAGAGGGAGAGGGAGAAGCAGGCTCCCCACTGAGCAGGGAGCCCGATGCGGGGCTCAATCCCAGGACCCTGAGATCATGACCTGAGCTAAAGGCAGCCGCTTAACCACCTGAGCCACCCAGGTGCCCCCAGCAAGATGATTCTTGAACCAAAGTTTTTAATGACTTGCTCTCTCTTTGTCAAAATAAGGTTACCTTATTAGGATTTGAATAAAGACCAAGTTGTGTTCAGTCTAGTTTATAAGTAAAAATTTCTAGGAACAATCAAATAATTTCTTACTCCTCTGGGAAAGAGCTGTCCCTTTTTCCCCTCTCATGTTACAGGTGAACTTAAGTTGTTTGGTGTTTATTTATTTGCTTGGAATTAAGAGTTATTTGAAACTTTAATTTTAGGCTTTCCCTTTCATTGCAATTCTCAGGTTTTTTGTTGTTGTGACACCATTTATTTTTATTTATTTTATTTATTCCACCCGGGAATGATCTCTACTGAAATGTCGCCTTCTTGCCCTCCCCGTATTTGCTCTGATAGCCACCTGCTTCCTCACTGTGTTATCACCCTGTTTTCATATCTCAGGATATCACTGGTATCTACTTGTTTGCCTACCTATTCCTCTGCCAGAATTTAAATTTTACAAGGGCAGAGGTCTTCTCTATCTTGTTCTTCGCTCTCTAGAACCATGGCCTAGAACAGGGCTGCCATAAACTAAGTTCTTGATGCTTATTTGTTGGTTGAAGGAATGAAGTTTTTAAAAATTTAAATAGTCCCCAGAAGTATCTAGTTAAAAGTAAGTTTCCTTCCCATCCTCCCTCCTACCCTCTTTCCCCAGAGACAAGCACCATTACTAGTCTCATGAGTATCCTTCCAGAGAGAGTCTGTGCATTTATAAACTAGGAGTAGTTATATTCCCCCCCGCTTTTTTACACAATTGGTAGCATGCTAAACTCTGATCTCTACCTAGCTTTTCACTGAACTGCATGTCTTAGCCTTTCCTAGCCATACATATGGATTTGCCACTATAATAATCTTTTGTTACATGTACCATAATTTATTTAACCAGTCTCTCCATTTCTGGACTGTTTAGAAGTTTTCCGATCTTTTGTCATTACCAGCAGGGCTGCCGTGAATACCTTGTTAGGTAACATAAGTTATTCCTCGTGATTCTGGTGGAACAGACACTGGGTCCTCATCCTGACCTCCTAGGCGACGGCCACTGCGTCTCAGTTTCATTCACGAACCTAATTACCTCCTGCTGGCCGCAGGCTGTGTGCCCGGTGACCCGCGATGTCATTCGCAGAGACAGGGATAGCGTGTCAGGGGACGCCCAGGTGGAGAGGGCCCGGACTAGCCGCTGCCTTCTGCCCTCCTGGGCTCCTTCGCGGGTGGGGTCCCGCAGCTGTCCGCGGGATTAAGCTTCCTCCCAATTAGTCGTTCAGAGGCGGCTCACCGCCAAGTTAGCCTCCTAGCACTTGTGACCAATCTGTCGGCCTGTTGGGAAGGAAACTGAAGCTTAGCAAAGACCACATTCTTCCCGTGAACCCACTCTTCTGTAGGAGCCACAATTAAGTAGAGAGACTTTGAGGATTCTCTGAAGGTTCCTCCATTCAAAACGACCGTGGGGAACTTTTGGCGTGACATCTTTTTGAAAATGCTCAGAGCAGAAACATGTTGTCTGCCCAGTCAGGTATGTTTAAAGAGAAATGAATGTGGCACTTTGTTTTGTCTTTGGAAACTTTTTCCCATCAATTATGAATTATTCCCTCACATGACTGTGGTTGGGGAGGTCAGCATCATTAAGTTGAATTCTGTTTAATAGAGCCTAGGAGACTAAGGATGCTTTACAGTGATGGTGAAACCCTAGATCCTTTGGCACTTTCTGTTGTCATACAGATGAAAGCTTCACAAAAAATCATTGTAACAGTGTTATATAGTTTAGAGGCCAGGGGAGAGAGGGTTTGAATGTCATCCCCCCGCCTTTCTTTTTCCGTAGTGGCCCTTCTTAGCAAATCCAGAAACATGATAAGCAGACCTTGCAAAACCATTGTTTCTTTGACAGCTGGATAAATGTAGAGTTTGTTTGAGAATGAAGACTATATATATATTTCAGAGATCCACCCAGTTCCTGACCTGTGGCTGGGAGAGGCCTGCTCAGGCTCAGCATGTTCAGCCAGTCACTGTTTCCCTCTCTGTGCATTTGGTTTCCCGAATCAGATGAGCCTTGTCTTTAGAAAAAGACAAGAAGGACACAAATCCCAGGCCAAGCCAAGCTGCTGGCTAGCAGAGATGATTGGAGGCCTTCCCCCTGAGATTGTATCATTAGAACCAGTAGGGAGATATGTTCTGAGGTCAGCCGAGGCAAATGTTTTTGGAAAGGAAGTTTCACATACTGTTTATATTCACAGAGCCTTTTCTGTTGGGTCCTTCTTGTTCACAGCTGAAACTGTGCTTTTAGTCTCACAGTCCTAGCACACTGTCCTTCTGCTCCCTGAGCTTACAGAAATCTGGGAGGAGGAACTGAGCTTTTTGTGTGGTCTGGGGATAGCCAGGAGTCATTTCTAATGATGGCAGTAGTCATGCAACAATCATTTTTAGTCTCCAGTTTATTTCTATCTTGGTAAGAGCTGTAATAAACTCAACCCTTAGGATCCTGGTATTAAATTTACTGAAAAGATGAATTTCCTTAGAATTATGAAGATTAAGTGGCTTTAACTGTTTCGTGGGAGAGTCTGTTTTGGGTTGATTGTGCTTCCCCTAATAAATACAGCTTTCCCTGAAGGCCCCAGAATACAAGGCTGTGTGACTGAGTATTGCTAGGTGAGTTGTTTATTCTAAACACACTCACATAGATTTTCTGCCCATGGGAGTCATCACATAGTTCTTGGCCTTATTCTGCCTTCAGGGAACAGATGCTGTCATAACTTGGAATGTTCGTCAACTTTCAGGCCATAATGTTCTAATGACCAGGTGCTCCAGCTTGTTGACTATTAATTTAATTAAGAGTATTAGATAACGATCCTGGAGTCCTGGGATCGAGTCCCACATCAGGCTCCCTACTCAGCAGGCAGTCTGCTTCTCCCTCTGACCCTCCCCCCTCTCATGTGCTCTCTCTCTCTCTCTCTCACACTCTCTCTCTCTCAAATAAATAAATAAAATCTTAAAAAAAAAAAAAATAACAGTATTAGACTGTCCTCTTCAGGCCAGGGGAGCGTGTTTGTGAAACGTCACTAGGATCCATTAGATTAAAACAGTGCCTCTTTGGAAGGCCTCTTCTAGAAAGAGAGGGTTTCTTTAGGGATGCAGTGGTCAACGCTTGAAGCCATTTGGGGGTTTCTTTCCTTTCCCTATCACGTGCAGGAAATGTCATCAGCAGATCACAAGCAAGCTCTCTCTTTCAGCATCTGTGGGTACTGTCCCAGATAGGCTTCATCAGCATTCTTTTTTTTTTTTTTTAAAGATTTTATTTATGAGAGAGAGCGAGAAAGAAGAGAGAATGAGTGGGGGGAGGGGCAGAGGGAGAAGCAGACTCCCCGCAGAGCAGGGAGCCCAATGAGGGCTCAATCCCAGGACCCTGGGATCATGACCTGAGCCGAAGGCAGACGCTTAACTGACTGAGCCACCCAGGCGCCCCTTCATCAGCGTTCTTCATTAGGGGTAGGACTTGGCCTTCAAATGCTTTTTTAGAAGCTTTGCCTTGTTTCTTTGGTGCTGTCATCTTTTAAGTATCTTGACAATTTTCTGTCACATTAAAAATGGGTGTGTACCTTGAAGGACAGTTGTTCACTACTTTGTTTCAGAAATGGACTGAAAATCCCCAGTGGAATAATAAAAAGGATACCTCCTCTATAATGGGGTATTTACTTCCCATTCATTACACAGATGTCTTATTAGTTACCCACTGTGTGCCAGGGAGGAGGTGGCCAAGTTGAAGTAAAGTCCCCAACTCAGTAAGCTTACAATTTAGTTAACCATGGTGGGACATAGCTGAAGGCCCAGCTTCCTTGGGAACAAGAAATAGGGTGAACTGGTAACTCTGCGTAAACCCATGTCTTGGAGGAGAAATACTGAAATTGAGGAGATAGAAAACTGAGAGCAGCAGAGGTTCCTTTCCATGCGGTCTGGGACCCCTCTGCCTTCAGCCCCATGGACCCGCCTCGGACAGACAGGTCTCCATATGGCTGTTTGTCTCCATTTAAAATAAGGAGACTACTTAATACTTTGTACATCCTAGAATCCCAACTTTATTTCAGTATGTGTAAAATTCTCTGAAGTCCTTAGGAAGAGATTATATATAGCCATAATTTTAATGAAAAAACTGAGCTAATATACATGTACAGTGTTTTGGCTCTGAATTAAAAAAAAAAATCAAAGATTATCTTTTTGTTTAGGAAACTAATTCTACCAAAAGCAGCATGGGAATAGAAGTAATTTTAAATGTTCAAGACATATAAACTACATACTCCAAAGATTCTCTTCTTGATTTTCCATTTCATACTGTAAAATTGAACCAAATCGCAACTAAGGTATGGAACAGTTATCAAGCATGATCCTACCTGAGCAAACTTCCCAGGCCTGTTTAAATACCATCCTGCTGGGCCACACACCTGCATCATTTTGACTCAGCAGATAAAAAGCCTGTTGGGTGAATTCATAAACCAGTTGGTCCAGGGAGTTACTCTTAGATGCTGTAAGACGGGACTTAACTTCTTTTTCTTTTTCCTCTTCCTACAGGGGGATTCTAAGAAGGACACCACTTCCAAGGCAATTCATAGTATATTTAAGAATGCAATACAGCTGCTTCAGGAAAAAGGATTTGTTTTCCAGAAAAATGATGGTTTTGATAAGCTATACTATGTAAGAGACCTGCAACTTTTTTTTTTTTCCTTCATAGCTTCGATCACTATATTCATTTGTTAGGAATACCTATTTACTATTTTTAAAATTCATTAAAGACGTTCATAAAATAAGGAGTGAAAGTCAGCCCTTCTCTTTCCCCAAGGTGCCATTTCTTTTTAAAGATTTTATTTGTGTATTTTAGAGAGCACAAGCGGGAAGGGGCAGAGGGAGAAGGAGAAAGAATCTGAAGTAGACTCTGTACTGGGCACAGAGCCCAATGTGGTGCTTGATCCCATGCCCGGGAGATCACGACCTGAGCCAAAACCAGTCGGACACTTAACCCGCTGAGCCACCCAGGCGCCTCCCCTCCCACCCAGCTGCCATTTTTAACAGTATGTCCTTCTAGACACTTACCTGTGCATTTACAAATGTACACGTATAGATGCTTCTGTGGCTTTTGGTTTTCCCCCCCAAAAGTGATTGTCCTGCAAATCAGGACTTCTCAGCCTTAACACTGGGCCAGATGGTTCTTTGCTGTGGGTGGCTTTCCTTTGCATTGTGGGAGGTCTAACAGCATCCCTGGCCTTCATTCACTAGGTAGCAGTAGCAGCCCACCGACTTGTGACAACCAAAAATGTCTCTGGACATCGCCAAGTGTCCCCTGGGACAGTTGAGAACCACTGCTGTAAATAATGCCTGGCAGTTTTGGGGGGTGGGGTACCAAAATAGCACATCACAGGCATCTCTCCATTTTAGTACTTCTAAATCTCCCTCAATCTTTTTGGCCTCACATGATATCATGGGTTCTTGCCCTACACTTCTAACCCCTTCTTTCTGGTGGACATCGGTGTTGATTCTGAGTTTTGCTTTCATAGATAGTGTTGCTATGGCTACCTTTGTGAATTCACGTAAGCATTTCTGTAAGATTTGCTCTTAAAAGAGGAATTGCCGTGCAAAGGACATGTATCTTTAAGCATTTGGTCAGCACAGTCTGATTGACCTCCCAGAAGGCGATACTCACGGACATTCCCACCAGGGGTACAAGGGCCTGCTTGCCTCATACCTTCAGAGTTAAAGGTTCACCTCTTGCTGCCTACCTTTAATACTCGGGGGGGGGCGGGCCGTGCTTTCGGTGACAATGGGCTTCCTCGTGACGGCTGATATCAGCAGCGTAGATGTGGCTTCAGTCACGAGTGATTCTCCTGGAGGCAGATCAGAATTCCGAGGAGTCCCAGAAGTCTCACTCTTTACAGACATGATGCTGGAGGGGAATCTTTCCTTAATAGGACATTTTCTTGATGTTGGTTTACTCTAGTGATTCCCCATTTTAGAGAGGTTTTTTAAATTAATATATGTTTTAAATACTATATGAGTAAAACTTTTAAGGTTTTTTTTTTAATTTTTTTTTTTATTTTTAGGTAATCTCTACACCCAAGGGATGCCTGGGTGGCTTAGTTGGTTAAGCATCTGTCTGCCTTCAGCTCGGGTCATGATCCCAGGGTCCTGGTATCGAGTCCCGCATCAGGCTCCTCACTCAGCGGAGAGCCTGCTTCTTCCTCTGCCTGCCACTCCCCCTGCTTGTGCTCCCCATTTCTCTGACAAATAAATAAAATCTTTAAAAAAAAAAAAATCCCTACACCCAACGTGGGGCTTGAACTCACTACCCTGAGATCAAGAGTTGCATGCTCTACCCACTGAGCCAGCCAGGGGTCCCTGAGTAACTTTTGAAAAGGGTATTCTAGTCTGTGTACAGAGGAGTGCAGACCACCTCCTGCTGGAAAGACCTGGTAAGGCTGGAGAAGCCTATGCTGGGCAGCTCCCCTTCCCATGCCTCCCCAACCCCTCCCGCCGCCAGGCTCTGGGTTGGCCCCCTGTGTCTGTAAAACATGGCTTTTCCTGGGCAGCAGCCAGGGCTGAGGTGTGGCGGGGCTAGGGCACTTCCTCCTGTGAATCAGTGTGAGCTGGAATGGGTGATCAAGCAGTAATAGCTCTTTTCGTCTGCAGAACCATCCCTCTTCTCTCCTCCCTTCCACCTCCTTCTCCCAGGCCGTAGGTTTCTGTTTTCTCGGGGAAGTAGTTGTCATGGTGATGTGGATACTTCTGTTTGTGTAGTGCTTTCCTCCTTGGGCAGCTCTCACTCCCATTACCTTAGTTAATCTTCACAATAACCTTGTGAGTCAAGATCCCCATTCGTCCTAAAGTCTGGTCACACAATTCCTGATACATGTGTTTGTTTGCATGCTTTTTTTTCCCCCTTCCTTCCTCTTTTCCTTCCTTCTTCTCTCTCTCTTTTTTTCTTTTTTTGTTTTTAGATTTACTGTGGAACATGAAGGTGAAACTCAGATGGTTACTTGGCTTCCCTCAAACTGGAGCCCGGTTGAGAAAGGAGCTTAGTTGTGTTTGCCTTTGAGACAGAAAGTGTTTCTGTAGATGAGCTGGATTACTCTCTTGCTAGCTTTTCCTGACAGTTTTTATTTCATTTATTTTTCTTTGGGGTTGGGAGAAAAAAGAGTACTAATGAGACATGAGACAGGTATCAGGGCCCAGAGGAAGGAGCCCTGGTTGGAGATGGAGACTTTGATCACTTGTGTCTCCCTTTGAATATAAAGATGAGTAAGAGAAATGAATGTATGACGAATATTTGAGAAGAAAGTTGCTCCTTAAAAGTATGGAATTTCAGTTTTTCTTGATATCATGGTCCAGGTAAACCACCTTCCAAGGGAGTGTGCCTCTGGGCCAACTACAAAGCAGTGAGCTGCTTAGGGACAGAGCTGGTTTGACAATAGGCCAAGTATCAAAAACTCTCTTGTTTGTGTAGGGATGGTAATTACTGTGAAATTTTTAAAAACTATCCTAAATACTAATCTGGGAGTCTGGGTTACACAACCACTTCCTTACTTAAGAATGCTCTCTCTCCTGTCCTGTTTTTCCCATTTAGGTAACCAGAGAAGACAAAGAACTGCACAGAAAGATCCACCATATCATTCAAGAAGACTGCCAGAAACCAAATCGTAAGTGGTGGAATGTACATGTATGTGGCGTCCTGGTGCACTGGAGGGGGATGATCCCTCCCAGAGAACACTGGATGGAGAGTCAGGAGACCTGGGGCTTTCCCCAGTAGTGACTTGGAAATATGATTGGTCCAGACACCTGCCCTCTCTGAGCCTCAGTCTCTTCTTCTGTACCGTGAGCGTTAGACTCTCAGAGTTGTTCTGACCTTAGCTCATGTACTTGACCCTGGAGCTTCTTTAAACATGCAGTGCTCAGGTCCCAGCCCTGGGGATGCCGATTCATTAGGGGCTGGGATAGGAGCTGGCCGGGGCAGCGTTTCAGGTCACTGCAGTACAGTGAGGTAAGCTACCAGGCTAGGACTTTTCTTGACCTTCTGGTTCTCATGTTCTCTCTGATTTGTCTTCTACTCTTGCCTCTCATCTTTGAATGCAGACGAGGCAGTTTCCTCTCTTCTGACATCAGGCCTTTCTGTGTTAGGAGAAATGGTTCTAGACATTACAGTTTATGATTAGTGTAATTTAGTCATCTTAGAACCTGATAATTTGCAGAAGAAATGGTTTAAAATACAGTTGGTTTTAGTGGAGTTAGGTCAACCCCTAGTGGTTAGAATCTCAAACTGTAGCTAGTCTGACAACAGACATTACCGTTTTCACACTAGTTAGAAAGAGGAGAAAGCACTACTCCTATCTTTAAATCCTATGTAAACTGATTAGACTTCAAGGTGACTTTTCAAAGTCTGTCTTTTGTCAAACATATGCTGATAATGAATGTTGGCTTTTGTCAACAAGGGAGGCTGGGAGAGAAAGGGAAAGACTTGTGAATGACTGCAGTTCTCCTCAGCCTGCTTGCTTTCTCTCCAAAGAAACCCACCCCCAGCCCTTTCAGCCCCTCCATCCCTGGGGCCTGGCCCTGCTCCAGGCTGAGTCAGCGGGCGGAGCTGGGCCAGGTCTCCGGCCCTGGTATTTATGGTATGCAGCCCTACTTAGTCTTTAAGAACCCATGAGGTCAGATCCCAGAATGGTGTGACAACAGATCTTAAAATAAACTGAAAGCAATCTATTATTTTAATGCAAAGTTTCTGGCTTTTGTTCACATCATTTAGAACAACAAGGATGAGTCTCCTTGAGTTGGGGGAGAACCTGTCCATCCACAATTTAGGGAGCTTTAAAGAGCAGTGAACTGTGGAGTTCCTCAACCAAGAAGAGACAAGAGACGAGAGGCTGCTCCCTAGATAGACTCCCTGCACCCATCCTCCTCATCAGCCACCTGGCCAGATCCTTACTTTGATCTGCACTAGGAACAGGATGGATTGAAATAATCCCAGTGCCTGGTGAAGCGAATGAAAGGAGCTCACACTGCATTTCTCAGGAGAGCCAAACTGCCTGGTGGCCTGAGAGTCTGCAAAAGTGGCAGGTTTTCCTTCCCCTCCTAACCCCCAGACCCACCCCGGCCCTGGCAAGTGTGTGTGTCGAGGTGGACCCCCTGTGCCCCTCAGTCTGTATGTGGGGGCCTCTGACAGCTGTAAGCCAGGTCCCAGAACTGGGAAACTCCGAGGAGCTGAACTCTGGAGCATGAGGAACTGAGAATGCCAGGAAAAATACCTCGTAGGGACTGTTTTGGCATCTGTTGTGACCACTCGTCCTAGAAAATATCTGTGACATTATATATATATTCTGAGTAATCATGTATGGACATGGTAAAAGTCAGACAGTGCAAAGTGCACACAGAAAATCAGAATCCCTCCCAACCCCAAGCCCCAGGCTCTATGTTCCCTCGTCCAAAGCCAGTGGGTGTTACTAGTTTCCCACTTGTCGTTCTAGAGAGGTTATATACACGTGCAAGCATATTGGTATAGTTTTTTTTTTAAAAAGTCCCACAAGTAAAGGTTAGCGTGCGATACTCAGTGTTCCACACCTTGTATCTTAAATCTAACATTGGCTTCTAGAAGTCATTCAGCAGCAGCACATCCAACACTGCCTCAGTCTTAATACCACACAGGATTCCATTATACGTATAGATAGATCTTCAACCTCTCAATCATTCCCCTACTGGGCCTTTAGTGTGTTTCTGACCTTTTGTACAAAATACAGCGTTGAGTTTTTCCTTATCAGGATGATCAGTAGGATGTAAACTCTTTAGTCATTTAGGAGTATTTCAGTAAACGGATAAACTTAGAATAAGGAAAGGACTATAAACATGAAACCTGTTTTCAGTCCCTAAAGCACTGATCCTGGGCTTGTTCAAAGACCGGCAGCATGGCAGAGTTGTGAAGAGCTGGGCTCTGGAGCCCCCTTGCCTGGGTTTGAATCCCAGCTCTGTCACTTTATAGCTGTGTGATCTTGGGTAAGTCTGTGCCTCAGTTTCTTTTTTTTTTTTTAAAGATTTATTTGTTTATTTTAGAGAGAGAGCGTGTGAGTGGGAGGAGGGGAGAGGGAGAGAGGGAATCTCAAGCAGACTCCCTGCTGAGTGCAGAGCCTGACACAGGGCTCGATCTCACGACCCCGAGATCATGACCTGAGCTGAAATCAAGAGTCGGATGCTCAACCAACTGAGCCACCTAGGCACCCCTCTTTTTTTTTTTAGTTAAGTATAGTTGACCTACAATATTATATTAGTTTCAGGTGTACAATATAGTGATTTGACATTTATATACATTACAAGGTGATCACCATGATGTCTAGTTACCATCTGTCACCATACAAAGTTATTAAAATATTAATGACTGTAGTCCTATTTACATCCCTGTGACTATTTTATAACTGGAAGTTTGTATCTCTTAATCCCCTTCACCTATTTCATCCATCCCCTCAACTCTCCTCCTTCCTCTCAGGCAACCCCCAGTTTGTTCTCTGTATTTATCTGTATTTATGAGTCTGTTTCTGTTTTGTTTCTTGGTTTTGGTTTTTAGATTCCACATATAAGTGACATCATATGGTATTTGTCTTTGTCTGACTTATTTCACTTAGCATAATACCCAAGTCTACCCATTGTTGTCGCAAATGGCAAGATCTCATTCTTTTTTACAGCTGAGTAATGTTCCATTGTGTATACACACCATATCTTCCTTATTCATTCATCTATCGATGGACACTTAGGTTGCCTCCCTATCTTGGCTACTGTAAATAATGCTGCAATGAATATAGGGGTGCATATATCTTTTAAACTAGTATTTTCATTTTCCTCAGATAAATACCCAGAAATAGAATAGCTGGATCACATGGTATTTCTATTTTTAATTTTTTGAGGAACCCCCACACTGTTTTGCACAGCAGCTGCACCAGTTTATGTTCCCACCAACGGTGCACGAGGGTTCCCTTTTCTCCACATCCTCGCCAACACTTGTTATTTCTTGACCTTTTGATTCTGGCCATTCTGACAGGTGTGAGGTGATATCTCATTGTAATTTCGATTTGCATTTCCCTGATGATGAGTGATGTTGAGCATATTTTCATGTGTCTTTTGGCCATCTGTGTGTCTTCTTTGTAAAAATGTCTATTCAGGTCTTTTTTGGGGGGCGCCTGGTTGGCTGAGTGGTTGGGTGTCTTGAGTTTGGCTCAGGTCATGATCTCAGGGTCCTGGGATCAATCGAGCCCCACGTCAGGCTCCCTGCTGAGGGAACCTGCTTCTCCCTCCCCCTTTTCTGCTCCCCCTGCTTGTGCTCTGCTCGCTCGCTCTCTGCCAAACAAATAAAATCTCTAGAAAAAAAATTGGATTGTTTGCTTTTTTGGTGTTGAGTTATATGAATTCTTTATATATTTTGAATATTAACCCCTTAAAGATCTATCATTCACAAATATTTCCTGTTCAGCAGGTGCCTTTTTGTTTTGTTGATGGTTCCCTCTCTGTGCAAAAGCTTTTTAGTTCAGTTTAGTCCCAATTGTTTATTTTTGTTTTCGTTTCCCTTACCTGAGGAGACAGATCCAAAAAATATTGCTAAGGCTGATGTCCAAGAGTTTACTGCCTATGTTTTCTTTTAGAAGTTTTATGGTTTCAGGTCTTACATTTAGGTCTTTATTCCATTTTGAGTTTATTTTTGTGTATGGTATAAGGAAGTAGCCCAGTTTCATTCTTTTGCATGTAGCTGTCCAGTTTTCCCAGCACCATTTATTGAAGAGACTGCCATTGTATATTCTTGTCTCCTTTGTCATAGGTTAAGTGAATGTCTACACATGGGTTTATTTCTAGGCAGTCTATTCTGTTCCATTGATATATGTCTGTTTTTGTACCAGTACCATACTGTTTTGATTACTACAGCCTTATAGAATAGTTTGAAATCTGAGGGCATGATACCTCCAGCTTTGTTCTTTTTCAAGATTGCTTTGGCTGTTTAGGGTCTTTTATGGTTCTGTTTTTGTTCTAGTTCTTTGAAAAATGCTGTTGGTGTTTTGATAGGGATTGCTTTGAATCTGTATTTTGCTTTTGGTAGTATGGACATTTTAACAATATGAATGTTTCCAATCCATGAACATAGAATGTCTTTTCCATTTATTTGTGTCATCTTCAATTTCTTTCATCAGTGTCTTATGGTTCTTAGAGTACAGATCTTTCATCTCTTTGGTTAAGTTTATTCTTAGGTATTTAATTCTTTTTGATGCTATTATAAATGGGATTGTTTTCATAATTTCTCTTTCTGATAGTTCGTTTTTAATGTATAGAAATGCAGCCAATTTCTCTGTATTAATTTTGTATCCTGCAACTTTACTGAATTTGTTTATTAGTTCTAATGGATTTTTGGTGGAGTCTTTTGGGTTTTCTATATATAGTATCACATCATCTGCAAATGGTGACAGTTTTACTTCTTCCTTAGCAATTTCGATGCCTTTTATTTCATTTTTTTTCCTGATTGCTGTGGCTAGGGCTTCCAATACTATGTTGACGAAGGTTTGCCTCATTGTCCTTATATGCAAAATGGGGATAATAATAGCACCCCCATGATGGGTTGTTATGGGGACTAAATACATTGGTAGAGTAGGAAGTACCAGCAATCTGTCTCTCCACTTAGACAACAATTGCATCTGCCTAATGTAACTATATTGGAACTCTGGAGTCTGCTGAAGGCCTGCAACTTCCAGGGGAAGGCTTGGAGGAGGGTAAATTGGGGATAATTTCAGTCAATTTTAGCTTTTAGTTGCAGATACCATTTCCTCAAGAAATGCTCAAGGGCATCCACTGTGGTGAAATGAAAGGACACTAGACAGTAACTCAGAGCCATGTGAAGAAATAGAGATCTCAGTAATGGTAAATACGTGGACAATTATAAAAGCTAATATAGCAATGGTTTATAACTTCACTTTTTGATTTCTGTATGATTTAAGAGGCTAATACATTGTGAAAAAATAATTATTAGTCTACTTACATTATTGTTGCCTTGGTTTTTAATTCCACATTTTGTTTTCTATATAATTTAAGAGACTAATGAATTTAAAAGAATACTTAGTTTATGTTCTTGGGCAACACAGTGTATAAAGATGTAATTTTGTGACATCAACAACTGAAAGATGTGGGGATAGAGCTGTAAAGGAGCAGAGTTTTTCTGTGTTGAAGTTAAATTGGAATACATTCAAATTAGGATGCTGAGTAATCCCCGTGGTAACCACAAAGAAAATAGCTATAGAATATGCACAAAAGGAAATAAGAAAGGAATTTAAACATTTCACTACAAAAAAAAAAAAAAAAAAAATCAGCCAAACACAAAAAGAATTCAGTAATGCAGGAAACAAAGGACAAAAAGTTACAAGGCATATAGAAAACAAATAGCAAAATGACAAAAGTAAGTCCTTCCCACCCCCCCCACCCCCCCAACAGTAATTAGTTTAAACCTAAATGGATTTAACTCTCCACTCAAAAGACAGATTGGCAGAATGGATTAAAAAAACATGCTCCCAGGGCGCCTGGGTGGCTCAGTTGGTTAAGCGACTGCCTTCGGCTCAGGTCATGATCCTGGAGTCCCGGGATCGAGTCCCACATCGGGCTCGCTGCTCAGCAGGGAGTCTGCTTCTCCCTCTGACCCTCCTCCCTCTCCTGCTCTCTGTCTCTCATTCTCTCTCTCTCAAATAAATAAATAAAATCTTAAAAAAAAAAAAAACATGCTCCCACTGTATGCTGTCTACAGAAGACTCACTTTAGATCCAAAGACAAATGGATTGAAAGTCAAAGGGTGGAAAAAGATACCCTGTGCAAATAAAAGTAACCAACAGAGAGCAGGAGTGGCTATACTAATATCAGACAATACCAACTTTAAAACCAAAAAGTTTACAAGAGACTAAGAAGGGCACTATATATTATTAAAAGTTTTCAATACAGCAAGAAGATACAGCGACTATAAACATTTATGTACCTAAGGACAGACGATCCAAATAGATGGAGCAAAAGTTGAGAAAATTGAAAGGAGAAATAAATAGTTCTACAATCATAGTTGGGGACGTCGGTATCCTACTCTCAGTAATGGGTAGAACAAGCAGACAGAAGATAAGTAAGGAGATAGAGAACTTGAACACTACGAGAAATAAGCTAAATCTAACAGACCTACACAAAACACTCTCTCCAACAATAGAATACACATTCTTGTCAAGTGTACATGGGGCATTTTCCAGGATAGACCATATGTTAGGCCACTAATGAAGTCTCCGTAGATTTTAAAAAGTTACGATACAAAGAATCTTCTCTGACCACAATCGGATGAAGTTAGAAGTCAGTGACAAAACTGGAAAATTTAACAAATTTGTGGATATTAAACAACACTCTTAACTAGTAAATCGAAGAAATCACAAAGGACATTGGAAAATAGCTAGAGATGAATGAAAATGAGGCTACAACATACCAAAACTTAGAGATGCAGCACTAAAGGGAACGTTATAGCTACAAACACATTAAAAAACAAGAGGGATCTCAAATCAAAACCTAACTTCTAACGATTTAAGAAACTAGAAAAAGAAGAACAAATCAAACCCAAAGCTAGCAGAAGAAATTAGAGCAAAGATAAATGAAACAGAGAATAGAAAATAATAGAGAAAATGAAACCAGAAGTTGGTTCTTCAAAAAAATCAACACAATTGCCAAACCTTTAACTAGAGTGACTAAGAAGAAAGAGAAAAGACTCAAATTACTGAAATCAGAAATGAAAATGAGGACATTAGTACTGGTTCTCCAGAAATAAAGAAAGACTATGAAAGAGTGCTGTGAGCAATTGCATGCTAACAAACTGGATAACCAGATGAAATGGGCAGGTTCCTAGAAACACGGAACCTACCAAGACTGAATCACATAGAAAAAGGAAATTCGAGTAGAGCTCTAACTAGTAAGGAGATTGCATCAGTAACTAAAAATCTACCAACAAAGAAAAGCTCTGGACCTGATGGCCTCACTGGTGAATTCTACCAAACTCTCAAAAACTAGAACCAGTCCCTCTCCCCATGTGACTGGAAGGTCCCTTGGTGAGCACCCTTGCCAAACAGCAGCATGGCCTTTCTGAAGAGATAGTTCAAGGCCTTCAGGGCAGTCAGGATCACATATGTCATATGTAAGTCCTCTTGAGCCCTGAGCTTGGGCATGCAGGCCCTGCAAAGACCGATTAAAAGCCAAGCGGTGGTGAGAGTCCTAGTGCTCCCCGTCTGCTGTGTGCAGGCCCAGTTTGGTTGGAGCCCCTTTCCACCCTCCAGTATCACCCTTCTCAGGAAGAGCTGAAGCTGCTCTAGAGCAGGGACTAGGTTATGTGTATCATCTTAGGTTATGGAGATGACAAAAGAATCATAGTCATTCCCGTGTAAGGAGCACCTGCCACAGGCCTCCTTTGATCCCCACAGCCACCGGTGAAGTAGGTGATTTTCTCCCCGTCTTACAGAGGAGGAAACAGACCCAGAGACGCGAGCCACACTGCCCCTGTCAGAGCCAGTACTTGAATTCGGGTCTGGTGGCCTCTGGAGTCCGCTCTCCATCTGTCATTTGCTCCTCCTTGCTCAGCACTACACACACAGTAGGTGTTCAGGAAGTCTTTATTGAATGAATGTTGACGGAACAGCCGGGAAACCAGTGAAGGTGGCAAGTTTTTCAACAGTAACCCCAACTGGGAGGGATAATGAGTGGACAGGGCCACTAGAGGTCAGAATTCAGCAAGTCTTTGTTAGCTCTGGAGCATGGTTTGGGATAGTCTCTGACCCTTAGAGCTGGAAAGAACCCCAGAGGTGCCCTCACCCCCTTTATAGTCCCTCCCCCTCCTCATAGGTGAGAAAACTCGGGCTCAGAGATGCTGTGAGTTGCCCAAGGCCACAGAGGTGCGCCACCTCCCAAACCGTGCTTTGCCCAACACCACGATACCTCTGCAATCACCTTCCTGGAGCCTAAAGCATTTTGTTCTCTGAAAACAACCTTCGGTGACTGTGGCGCAGCAGGTGTGCCAGATGCTGGGGAGACCACAGAGGGGCCAAGCTTGGCCCTGCATGGCGCTCGAAGTGAATCTGGGGAGGCTTTGTTTTCAGTAATGAGGTTTGACTTTGACTCAGAGTTACAAATGCATTTTACATCATGACCCAGTACATTATATTTACATATATGTGTACATACACATATCAAATGTATTTTATATATATAAATATACATATTTTAAGTATGTATGAATATTTATATATATAAAAAGTTTCACAAAATAATACGCTATAATGCAGTGCATTTTGTAATTTCCTATTCCCGTCTTTCTTAATCTGTTGGTAAGGAAACAATTGCTAATCACAGCCCATTATGTTGATTTCATGACCCTCCGTAGTGGTCAGAACAGCACCGTGCATTCCACTACTCTAAATCATTGGTTTGAACTAGGAAAGAGGTTGCTAACCGTGAACTTTTATCATTGTATACCAAATGGTCTTGGGTTTTTTGGGGTGGAGGATAAGAGATTTCTAGAACGCAACCATCATAGACAGGACTGCTTGGAAGCCTAGGCAGAGAAGAATGAGAACAGATCTGTGGTCAGAATCCCTTCTCTAGGCTGTTAGGTCAGTCAGGACTTAACGGGAAAGAATCCGGAGGCTGCCGTAAACCAGCTCCGCTCTCAGTCTCAGGAGGGCTCCCACCTGGAAAGCTATGGGCTCGGCTCTGAATAGGAGCACTTATACACGTACCTGCACTAGAGAAAAAAGATTTAAAAAATTACAGATACAGATCAGTTACAGATAATGAATTATCGATTAGCAGCCCTTGAAGATTGAAGGCCTGAGTTCCTGAGCAGCGGGTCCACGTCATGTGGCGAAATAAGGGGCCTGAGAACAGGGCTTTTGTTTTGTTTCTGCTGGTAATCTAAACCAGTGCATCTCCAACTTTACCGAGCTTAAGAATCACCAGCAGATCTTGTGAAAATGCAGGGGCAGGGCCGCGGAGGGGGAGGAGGGTCTGACAGGTGTGCCAAGCTTAGCCAACTGCCTTTTTCCAGCAGATGCAGAGAAGGGCTGCCACTTTCAGCACATCTTGGCCTGTGCTCGCCTAAGTGTCAGCCCAGACCTGAGTGAAGGTGTGCTGCAGCAGGTGCTGGAGCTCCTGGAGGACCAGAGTGACATCGTCAGCACCACTGAGCACTACTACACGGTGTTCTGAGCAGAGGCCTGCCGATGGCGTGGGCGGCCCGGGCCAAGGAAGACAACGAGCAGGTGCTGGGCGCTCCCAGGCTCAGATTTGAAACATCACGCAGAGGCTTATAGGTCTGGTGTCAGTGATCTCGTAATAAACTGTGAAATATGGTCATGTAAGGAATGGAATTTGGCATAAATTCTGCAGGCTGCCCTCTAGCTGCTGTATCCATGGGATAAAGTAATTTATCTCAGCCATGACATAGAAGAAGAAAACCCTCCTTGTTGACCTCCTGCCTGGACCGGGCCTTGCTCTTAGAGCAGAAGGGAGGGAACACTGTTGGTGGCTGAATTGGTGTGTATGTGGCTTGAGGCTCTGTCATGGTAAAGGGATGTCACATGGTAAAGTGAAGTGAAGAGCATCTAGCCAGATCACACAGACCTAAAACATTTGAAAACTTCAGACTATTGCATATGTTCTTGTAGGCCTCTTTCAGTAGTTAAGAACCTAGTGTTAAGAACTCCTCCATGGATGAGTATTACTCACCTATGATTTCCACGGATCAAGTACCAGAGGTGGGTCCTGAGTCCTGGGATGAATGTTGTTTACAGACCCACCCAGAGATGGGAATAAATGGATCCAAGGCATGGCTCTGTGTTGGTCATTTTCCTTCTTTTCCTTTTTTTTTTTTTAAAGATTTTATTTATTTACCTGACAGAGAGAGCACAAGTAGGCAGAGTGGCAGGCAGAGGGAGAGAGAGAAGCAGACTCCCCGCTGAGCAGGGATTCCCCACTTGGGGCTCAATCCCAGGACCCTGGGATCATGACCCGAGCCGAAGGCAGCCGCTTAACCGACTGAGCCACCCGGGCGCCCCTTTCCTTCTTTTCCTTATGAACTAAGAGATGTCTCAGTACATTTCCCTACACTTGACATACGTGACTAAAGACATTGTCCTTTTTTTTTTTTTTTTTTATTTTATTTATTTATTTGAAAAAGAAAATCAAAACTGGAGTTTTAGAAATTC